CATTCGCACATAACCAAGCTATCTGAACTGAATTCCTCTAACTCCACCAAGCCACACAGGTTGTCGAATTCGAGAGCATTGCCACGAAACACCTATAGATACTAGCCACATCATAAGTACCCAAAGAACCGATCATACCCATTATTGTGCTAACCCAACCTACTACCAAGCTTTCCTATTTCTCCAAGTTCTTTCTATATTGCCTTCAAATTGCTACTTTTTCCTTGTTAGAACACTACTATCCTTAACTAAAACTTACCCCACGAACTCTAGCATAGAATCACGCCGCCCTAAGGCTTATAAGCCGCCGAATTCCCTTTTTATGTATTCCAAAGGTTCCACAACAAAAAAATGCTTACTCCGAAGAGACTTTATGTGAACCTAACACTGTTTCCTTCACCTTGTTGATACTGAAATGCATAATTCACAATGATATAAGATGCCACGAGTCTCAACATCGTTCAATGCAACTCCCAGTTTTCTAGCCATATTTATAAATCTTGAATCCATTGTAACCGTTCTCGAATTAACCGACCAAACGGATCGAAACGACATATGCCCCATTAGCACATCAACACCCAAGGGAATAAAGAGTAACCCTCACTCCTACGCAACCGAGCAAATTCCCGCTCCATGTACACTATATTCTTTGTGAATAAACACTCAATTATTTTTATGGTCCTCCTATAACCATAGAGTGTAATACAACTTGTGTCCAGAAATTCCTTTACCCGAGTCATCCTCGATCTCGACCTCTGCAAGTCATAACTGATTCACCGTCATACCCCGAACCGAACTAATATGACCCATAACCGTATAATCAACTCGTCGATAGCAGATCTTCACGCCTCTATTCATGATCTTCACGCCCACCAGATATTCACAACTCAAGTCAAACAAACTTTTTTTTTGAACACTAACCATCACTCCAAATAGAGTATGCAGGCTGATTCACATATTAACACGATTCCAAACCATTCTACACTTTCTCAAGGTGCACGACTACCCTACTAGTGAATTCATATCCTATCTGCCATGCTTACTTCGGTTAAATCATCTCCTGTAAGAAACATCTCAACCTCTACTTCTCCTACTTGACCCGCTAGTACTTCAACCACCGCGAAACACTTCCCGCCATGTCTTCCCTCATACTTTGCTACCCAACTGTTGCATCGAATCGACACCACGGAACTGCAGGAGGGCCATAGCCAGGATCAATTATAACTACCCTGGTCAGCAAGAAATAGCGTGAATCAACATGTTTAAGCTGTTTAATGAAACAATTTATTCCATCTTTAAGCAATAGAATAATTTTTTTTTGTGACGACAGTGTCCATCATTCCATTGGGTACCTACTTTCTCAATTTATCACATGTTTAAGCTGAAAAGAGTTCACTAACATTTCTCTTTTTTGTGTTCGGTCTTTCTTTTTCACTAATAAATTACTGGAGCTTGTGAATTAGTGAAAGGAAATTATTAATTTTCTGAGTCACTTATGTACACTAAGGCAATGTCAGTTGCATGAGCTAATTTTAGTTTCAGAAATTTCAATATACAGTTCAACGAATTCATGGCTGAGGGGAATCAATGCAAATAATTATATTCCAAGCACATCCAACAACTAAAAAAAATGCACGCTTCTTCGAAACAATAACCAAAGAAGAACAGGGGAAAACAGAGCCGAAACCATACACACACACACACACAATGCATCAAAAATGTTGAAAAGGGTAGGAGAGAATAGATAATACACAATCCCTTGCTATATAAAGTGCTAATAACTCAAAACAATAAATAACATCAACAATAATGGTTACCCAAAATCAGAAAATGTTAAGGCTTTTTCCTCTGACAAAATGCGCACGAATCCTGGGAAGGAATTTGATGATAAATTCAGTCAAAATCAGCGGACATTGGATCTTTTCTGATCGGGGAAAGGGCCCTTCTATTACGATGTGTACGATTTAGGGTATGAGATAAGTCGCATTATTTTTATGCAATGTCTTTTGTCTTCTGGCATGTTTTGACTTTTGACAATCCTCCAAAAATAATAAATAAGGCTCATAATTTATCAAATGTTACCTGTTACACCTTATATTTTCATACGTGAAATTACGCCATAAATAAATTATTGAAAGTTCGGAAATGAGATATTATATCCCGTATTTTCGTACGTTAAAGTTTCATCGTAAGTTAATCGACGTAAGTTCCAGAATGTGATTATTTTGAAATTTTAAGCATTATGCTATTTCAAACAAGTGACGAGTAAATTCGTGAAGGTGAGAGGTAAGCAAATCGGAGAAAATAAATTTCGTCAAAGTTTGACGTTTTGGATAAAGTACGACCCGAGCTAAAATACCCGGTATTTATGGACTAATAGCATACAAGGTATCACATGACCATGATACTAAGTTGTATAAGATATGTTAAAAGTAAGTAGTATTTTAAGTAAATTGAGATAATTCTTAATTATTCGGGTAATTGATTAATTATTGAATAATGAAATATTATTCAATTAATTAATAAATTATTTGAATAATGATGGGAAAGACCAACGTGGCACCAAGCCTCTCTTTAACCAAATGACTCTTAAGTCATTAAAAGAGGTGGCAAAAGTAAGAGAGGTGGGCAAGTCTTGAACGTGAGTCACCTTACTTATTTAAGGAAAGAGATCCATTTTTACGTTCTTTACAATTCAAGCACCAACGTTACATAGAAACTTTACAATTCAAGCTTTACACAGAAACTTTACAATTCAAGCACCAACGTTACATAGAAACTTTACAATTCAAGCTTTACACAGAAACTTTACAATTCAAGCATCGGCGTTAATTCACTTTTCAAATAGCAACGTTGTTGCTAAGTTCTTAAGGAAAGGTTTTGGTTAAGATTTTCTTTGCATAACAACATAATTGCTTCGAGCTTTTCATACGACTTGTTCTGTGTTTTATCGCAATTAACGTGTATTAGAGGATTGTCTTGGCATGTTAAGGCTATCCCTTCTTTCTTTTGGCATGACCCAAATAATACTGAAAGAAACAAGCAAACGTACAGTTTTCATAAACGACTCTATTCATAGAAATATTAGGGGTGTCTATATTCTTGATTCCCCATGTGAATTATTATTATATCTTCTGTTTATGGGTCTCAGAAAAATACGTATTTGATAAAATTTATCCGACAGACATTATTTTTATGACATTCCGAGAAAATTTTATTAACATATTTCTTAAGGCATATTATTTTTATGACATTCCGAGAAAATATTATTAACGTATNGTACATGTCGAATCTTTTACTCCATGTTTCTCTCATGTCTATTATTTATTGATTTTCATTCCTTATATACTCGGTACATTATTTGTACTGACGTCCCTTTTGCCTGGGGACGCTGCGTTTCATGCCCGCAAGTCTCGATAGACAGGTCGAGAATCCTCCAAGTAGGCGATCAGCTCAGCAGAAGATATTGTTGCACTCCATTTGTTCCGGAGTTGCTTGTTTGGTCAGTATGATTTAGATGTGTATGGTTTGGTATGAAAGGGCTCTGTCCCGACCTTTATGACAATTATGTACTTTTAGAGGCTTATAGACATATGTCGTGTACGTGAAAGATTGTACGGCCTCGTCGGCCTATGTTTTGAGTTTATATATGATGATGTAATAAGAAAGATACGTTACGTTGGTACTCGGTTGAGTAAGGTATCTGGTGCCCATCGCGGCCCATCGGTTTGGGTCGTGACATTACCTATATTAATTGATGCATATTTTATTGGAATTTGAGAAAATGATTTGAAATGGTAATAAATATTGTGGGTAAAATAGGAAAAAATTTGTTGTCTTCTCTTGATATGCGTAAAGTGACAAGTAAAAGTGAACATCTATTTTTAGTATATATGCCAAGCAAAAGTGACCGGGGAGTATAACCCAACCGGACTAAAGCGTAGTGATGGTTGGCAGTAAAGTAATGATAATATTTACATGTACAGATGTATTAAATACTTATCTTATTTTGACAATCTTATAAGCCAATGTGAATATTAGGATACTTGGTGTTGGTCTTCTAATGTCAAAACTTTAACTGCTGACATTTATAGATAGCATTCATGATCTCTCGTTGATGCACTTAACGTTGGTTAGAAGTTTGTACCTAGCCGTTTGTAACTTGCTACTATCTTCATAATAATGCTCTTACTGCTAATAGATTGTATGTGATTTTGATTCATAACTGTAAGTCTATAACCATATAGACATGAAAAATATAGAGCTTTAGAAAATTTCACGAACCAGGAAACTAGGGAAGTCTCCCTGAATCAAGTTGCCTCAGATGAAAATTTTGACAATAACGTACTTAGGAAACCTTGAAAACAGTTCTTCACTGAAAGAAACTTAAGAAACTGTGCCTTTATTTCAACAAACAAAGACATTTATATCACCAAACCAGCCAAATCACATACTATTATTCTGAAACAGAGAAAGTAATGCACAAATTCAATCCATATGAAGTTAGCCTGCATATTGAACGATCTTTTTCTCCAGCAAATTCTTGTCAGCACCTACTACTCTGTCAACCTCCTTGCCATATTTTATGAAAAAGAAAGCTGGAACACTACTGACGTTCCATCTTGAAGCCGCATCTCTTGCCTCATCTATATCAGCCTTTAGAAATGCAGCTTTTGGATATTTCTCCGCCAAGCTTGTGAAAACTGGAGAAATGAAACGACAAGGCCCACACCATGTCGCAGTGAAGTAAAGGACAGCTAGACGCGATGCTCTGGAAGCAGCATTTAACTTTGTCTCCAGTTCGCTCACAGAATGGATACCAATAATTTTTCCTGTATATAGCAAACAAGTAAACGATTGCATAAATATGTATGCTATTCTAAACCTCTCAAATGAAAATTGCACTACTTTGCAGCACGAAACACACTTTTATTCATCACCTAACAAGTGATTGTTAATGGAAACCCAAATGACAAATAACACATGAAAACGAGAGGGAAACAAATTCTCTAGAGGAGATTAACATAACAACGTTCAGGATATCAAATTTTGAAAGGCAGAGAGATACTAGAAGACTTAACTGCATCAGACAACATGAAATTTAAGTTACAAAAACTACATGCTCTTTAGCTTCAATATATAACCAAATGCTCAACAGCTTCTACAAAACATCATCTAGCTGCTACCAGCAGCCTTCTTTATAGTTTTCCTTCTCCCTTGAACCAACTATCATAACCCACAAACCCAACCCCCTCCCCGGCTTCCCAGCGGTCGCAAGAGCATTTCCCACTTCTCTCCATGATGATGAGAACTACCAACCTCTTGGCTGGACATGGAATGCTCTTAACACTTCAGCAATCTCCTTGAGATGGTCTAATATCAGGGCAATTCCCGAAAGGTACCTAAGAAAGCCTAGAGAACCAGGGACCTATCTCAACATGCAATTGTGTGCATATAGAGCAAATATCTACATGATATCTACACATCATCCATAATTCCATATCCGTGTTACCTAAAGGTGGTCATTTACCAGTTTACATAGTAAAATGTGATAGTTCTAACAAATTACAGATGGAAGCTGACTAGCTCAATCAAGAAGGTTGAAATATGGTGATAGGTATTTTTCATTGGTTGGCGATCGTGCATACCAGTCTTGATGTTCATTCTAAGCTGTGTTTAATATATAGTAAGTAGATAAAGAAAAACCTGGATAATCACAGGAAGAGGTTGATAGAGATATTAATTACGAGCAATCATTCATTAACAAAAAAATGATGCGATATTTCCAGTCATATTATAATAATAAATGTTGGACACTAGTTTAACATACGGATTGCTAAGAATGAAAACTCGGTCACAACAGACAAAAAAGAAATACGTTAGATAAACTTAAATGCAACCATCAACTATCAAATGAGTAGTCAACTCGAATAATGAAATCTTACCACCATTTAAATCAGAACCAGAGTCAGGACCCTGCATCATTTTATTTTTTGGAAGAAAGAGTAACTCATCAGAAGAAGAAATTGAATCTATAAACAAAGTAAATAGAGGGGCTGCAGAAGGGAAACAGTAAAAAATCAGAAAATACCAGGCCTACTCAGTAATCCAGATCTAGGTCCTAGTCATTTTTTGCCACTTGACTTGCACCATGGATGAAAATGCAGTTAAATTCAACCACATCACTTGAAAAAACAGCAAGAGAAATATAGCATCTCATTTTAACAGTGTGTAACAAGGTAAACTAATGTCATATTTTTGTCAGCAATTTCAGTCCCCCCCTTCACCAACGCCCTACCCCCAGGAAAAGAGACATAAGGTAAAGGGTCAATTAGGAGTATGGATCCAACTGGATGCTAGCTGAGATTAGCTATGAGGAGATAACAAAGCTGCCCAAGACAGTGAGAAAACTAAAATGTTGATGATCACAGAAAGAAGTTAGCTCTTTTTAATTGTCACGGCTACCTTTTAGAGTGGGGGCTAAGCAGGACAGATGGAGCTCAAAAATGAGTTACTGTCACCAACCAATCAAAGGATGTATATATAAAGGATATCAGCTTCAGGTGCAAACTAGATTGAGGAGTATTAACAGATGCAACAGGCTGAAGCCCACAGAAGAGCACAAACAGTGAACATAATTCTTACTTCAAAAGCCACCTTATCAAAAGAAAAAATCTAATTCAAAAATCACATTGTGTGACTGGGGGGAACACAAAAATAGACCGTAGAAAACTTACAGAAGCTTTATGTTGAGATTGTTGTTCTTTCTTTTCATCCTTTTCATAAGCTGCCTGCAGCGCAATACAATGTCAAGATTAAATAAAAAATCGGCTTGCTAATCACGCAATACATTTAGTACACTAAAAACACCTTTGCTTCTGCTTGACGGCACTGCCTGTCACGCTCAATTTTCCTCTGCTTCTTCTCTTGTCTCAGACGCTCATATTTTCGGCAGTGCTCTTCAATTTTACGAGCATTAGGTTCAACCTGCCATATTTACAGCCAGTGAACTTGTTAGATTTAAAGTTTAAGGGTATGTCGGGGAGAAGTAATGTGCACAAAAAGAAGTTTGAAGATATGACCTTTTTAAGTATCTCTGCAATCTCCTCATCAAAATCTATCGTCGATGCCACATGAAGGTCGTTAGCTGCCTCTTTCCATAAGCCCAACATTGCCCTAGCCATACCCCTTACTTTGTATGCTTTTGCTGAGTCAGAGTTGATCTTTAAATGAAATGATTTAAGTGTCAGTAGGAATCAAGATGCAATCACAGGAATATAAATGAACCTAAAATTTCATTTCTAGTTAATGAAACCATGTTCTGAAATTTCTTCTGAGAAACCTTTAATGCAGCATCAGCATCACGGATCGCGGCGTTGGGTTTTTTCAGCTTATTGAAGACACTACCTGTGTAGACATTAGTGTTTGTCAAAAGACCACTTGAATGACATGATACAGAGTCCAAAATTTTAAGATGGTAAATATGTCAGGAAATAACCTCTTGTTGCGTATAATATTGCAGAATTTGGATTCAACAAAATAGCTTCTGTTAAATGATTTATGGCTTCATTAAGCTTGCCTGCCAGGAATATACAGTTCCAGTAAGGTGTAACTTTCCCAAATTAAGATTGTAAAAGAAGGATCTATATTACTCATTTAGGTAAAGATTAACGTGCCTTCAGATAATGCATCAAGAGCTTTAGCTTTTGATGTTTGAGCAGCATCTCGATTTTCTTCAGTAACTTCACCTGAATAAACTCCCATCTGCAGTTATACGACAAGAAAGAGCTCATTAAATCCTTAAGAGTTAAGACCATGCTGCAGTTGAATCCACCTTAACCCTTCATCACAGACCTGTTGTGGAGGATCATTGTCAGGTTCCACGGTATCAGTGTTATCCAACTCAACATCAGACTCTATAATGTCCTCATCCAATTCATCAGGATGTTCATCTCCACCTTTTTCCTGTGAAGTCATTGCCCGGCATTAATATGAGAAAATAAACTACATTTCCCCATTTCACACCGAATATCATGGTTTCTAAATCTTTAATTTGAAACCATGCAAAAAGGATGACCACTTTTTCAAAATATCTTGGCTATACCAAATATCATAAGAGTGTAATAGATCCTACTAATTTACTTCTTCAAAATAAAAACTAATCTCTACTCCACATTGTTGAACCAATCATAAAATTTTTTGCATGCATTGAACTAAATCTTTGGTCTAAAACAGAGAGCTTCAAAGAACCAGATGTATTAACTTAGCTTATGTTAGTGGGCAAGCCCAAGCTAGAGGACCGCAATAATGGTCTTCCTTATCAAATATATTAAAGTTGTGGGCAAGGATGCTGTTCAAAAGTTGTACCATTTTTCACTCATCCCCCAATTAGTTGGTGTACTCACCCAGCCATCCAAGCACAAGCATATATTTATACGTACTGATGCACATCAACGAGTATGTCTCTCCATGATTCTAGAGCTATTTTCTTCTCTTTTTGATATGGTAACTCCTACCCCCAAATCCCCTTTGCTCGGGGACTAAAAGTGACCCTTTTCCCACTTTGCTCCCATGGTGACTCGAGCTGCCGACCTTGTTGGCAGGAGAGTGCTTTACCACTAGAGCAACCTCACTTGTCCCTAGAGGCCATTAATCTAAACCGAAAGATGCTGGTAGCTGAACTTGCAATTTTATGGATGAAACATGGCATTCATGCATCATTGAATTGTGATGTTTACACCAAACCTCAGCTGGGACTGCCTGAATTCGTACATGAAACAGGAACCACACTGTTTAACTAGATCTCCTATACTGTGGCTATTTTACGAGAAACTGATAATCAACATATGGGTGCTTTCAAATAGCTTCAGCCAAGTAGGGCCAGGATAATCCATGAAGCTAGCTTCAGCCTGCTTGACGAAAAAATCTCAGAAAGAATTCTGTACCTCCAGCTATAACTAAATAAGGAGATTTAACATTTGAGTAAGAAAGTCTTAAAACCTAGTAAAGTGGGGATTAAAGTTCAGAATGGTTACCGTTATGTTAAACAATTGAATTTATTATATGAATGAAATATCAAATAAGTTGACGCAAACTAATTTGTTGAAAAGAGATTAATAAAAGTATCTTCTTTAGACTGATACAGTAGTATTTTACACAAAAAGAAGGGCGTGAAAATAAGGAATTGCTGAAGCGAGTAAAAGGGCGAATTGCTAGCGGAGGCTTACAGATTTAACGGATGTAGGAACTCGAGCACCCAAGCTGAAATTAATTCATTACACAATTTATTAACAGTTGGTTCGTTCAAGCAAAGCCCAAGAATTTTGAAAATAAGAATAGCGGTAGTACCTTTCGAGAAAGTTCTTGAAAAAAGAAAGCGAAGGATTTTGTAAAATTGAAGGGTTCGTTTTGCATAGCTCCACGAATTGCTTTAGGTCTTGAAGTTTCTCATTATCCATGATCGTCTTCGTCCCCCGAGTTCACTCTCTTTCTCTGTCTTAGTAGTCCAACATATGTCAACTTCCACAACTTTGTCCGCAGGATAGCCCCAGGGTTTTCCGATTGATATACCAAAATAGCCCGTTAAGTATAGGGTTAGATTAATATTGGCCCTTAATGTATAACCCTAGACATAAATGGCCCTTTATCTAATTATCTTTGCCAAAGGAGAGCATTTTTGGTCCAGGGTTAATCAAGGAATCAATATTACCAGATGTCCATATAATATGCATGGAATTAGCCGCTTCATGCCAAACATATAGCATTCCTTGCTCTTGGAGCCAATGAGATTTTATATGAGAGAAGAAAGAAGACTATGCATTCTTCATATGAATACCAGATAATAATAGCATAGCACTTTGAATTTGAAATAAGAAATTTTTGTATTAGCTCGATTATGTATCGACAAGGTAGTATGAAATAAGGGATACTTTTTATTTTCTTCTTATCTTTAGAGTGCTAGCTTCAGCTTCATAATTTTTTGTGTTTTTATGCTACTGATGGAAATACAACAAATTTGATGGAACTACAATATAAGGGGAGCCTTGGAGCAACAGTAAAATTGTCTCTATGTGACGTATTGATAGCATATCAAGGGGAGTTCCATGGGGCACGTGAACTCATGGTCCCCTCCCTAAATCATGTATAGTAATGTTATATTTTCTTAGAAATGCTTAAATATATACGCGGACACCCAAGCTCAAAGTACATATGATGGAATGGTTATTGGGTACACTTCTCTAAGTGAGATTATGAGTTCAAATCTTATGTCAATATGATTATTTTTTCCTTTCTTTTCTACCTCTTCATAGTAGTGCGCTCATCTTTCTAAAATCATGGATCCGCTTCTGCCTATAGCTTCGTAGTAGTGCACTCATCTTTCCATAATCTTGGATCCACTTTTACCAAGAAATAATGGGTTCAAGTCATTAAAAACAACCACTAATGCTTGCATTAGAGTAAGCTGTCTACATCACAGCTTTTGGGTGCAGCCCTTTCCGGACCGTGCGTGCACCCGTGATGCTTTGTGCACCAAATGCCTTTTTTTTAATGGAACAACAGTAATTAACCTGCACAAAAATGCAATCGGATCTCGTCCTTAGAGCTTTGAAAATTGAAACATCGCTGCAACTGCTACGAGCGGGAAGAAGACTTTGAGCATTAGCCTCATTCTTCAGCTTCATTCTATACATTCTGTGGTCAATGTGAGTTTTCTCCCACCATGGAGTGTTTGACATTTGCTTCTCCTTTTTTGGTTTCAAACTTCTTACACTGTCTAATCTAGAGTCCATTAGGATATGAGGTTCTTTTGTTGAAAATGGACTGGACTTCCTAACTCAGTTCGAGTCTAAACACCCCTGTTTTTCAACTTCCACCGAAAACATAAAAAGTTGAATCTATAAAAACTTTCAATGCTGCACAGCATAAGGTATAAGATTTTAAAACGCTGAACGGTAGAGCACTTACAGCAATTCCATCACTTACAACCGTTCTTTTCTGACTCTTATTTGTTCAATTCAGAATACTACAACAAGTAAGAAAACTTTTGACTCACTTTCTGTACTCCCAAAAGACCAAGTAAGAAAACGCCCGGCGAAAGCTCCGATGTACAAAGTGGCGAACAGAAGAATAAAACATACCCTGAACAAGGTAACATTGAAAAGAATGCTTCTTTACATTGGCAAAAATGGAAACCTACAAAAGGCTCGTAGTGTTTTCAGATGAAAAGGCTCTGATCACAATTACAAGGAAAACAACCTAAAATAATCGTATCTAACAAAGAACTGAAGTATTGAGGTCAAGACGAACACAAATTTAATAGCTTAAATAATCTCTCGCTACAGTCTTGATCTTGCGTCTACATTATTTTGCCACCATTGGCATTTTTCACGTCTCCTTGACCAAATTGATTACATGGGGATGACAAGAGCCTAAAGTGTTTTTAGCGAAACTTCTGCTTCCATATCCAAGAGAGCTACATTCTGGGGATTGCTTGCTGCTGTCGTAAGGTGATGCACTTATTACCCTGAATTCAAGAACACAACAAGCTTTTAACACAAAAGTGGAGTTTTTCACAAAAAGGACGTACCAAAAAAGGGATAATATCTGAAAAGCAATCCTTTGAGATAAACAGATAAAGGACTCCCCTTTCTCTTACACTTTATGAAACAGCAAAAACTCACTCAAATTGGGATGAAAACAAACCCCAAATTACCTTTCTTTGCGCTTCTCCAAAAACCGAGCCAATGATGCCTTGCGTGCCTGCGGCACAGCTGCATATGATAAATGCCCAATCATTTTACTGACATAACGTACGAATAAGCAAAATTTGGCCAAGAATCTTGGTGATTTTTCAGTTTGAAAAGCACAAGAATATACCTGATGGAACAAAGGTGGCAGGAACAGATCCTATGGAACTGGAAAATTTGGAAAGTTCTGCTTTATTAGAAGGAGATGGTAGGACCCCAATTGATTTGATAATAGTTACTCCATTTGTATTACTAGACACTCCGGCAGGTTGAGATCCACAATGAGATGTTATAGAAATGGGGCTGGGAAGAGTAGGTGTTGTGTTGTGGCACTGATTTACAACAAAAGAGTCAACAGAAGAGGACTTGGGTATAGGCGCCTGAACTGGAGATAGAGTAGATGTTGCACTTGGCGTAACAGGTGATGCATTTCCAGCAAGCAACATAATAGCTTGAGCCTAATCCAAAAGAAGATATAATTGGTGAAATTGTCAACATAAGATACATTCATGAGACCAACATCAGGGAGAACCTAAAGGTCTAGAGGGTTCACCTTCTCTGGTGAAACATTATCGTAAACGCAGACTGAACCAGCATAAAAGATGGTCAACTGAGCAGGACCTGGGGGAGTTTTCGGAGCACCCCTGCCAATAGAGATCCATAATAAATTCAGCATCCCCCTTCAGTAAAAGTTTTCTCAATTAAGATATCTTATATCAATGTTAGCTAACATACCTTAAATCAGTAGTGCCCACGACAGCGCTGTTAGTTGGAACAGCTGAAATGGGGCTAGCAACTGGATTCTGTCCAAGAGGAGAAACAAAGGACTTATGACCAGGCATAGTCATAGATACAGAAATCTGATTTGTTGGGTTGGAAACTGGGAGCACTCTGACTCCATGAGATCGAGGCAGGGAGTGTGCATCATAGTGATGAGGAGAGAAAGTTGTCGACATGTAGTGTGTTCCACCTTGCTTTTCAAGCATCATGTTTTTCTGACATTTAGAGGAACAACTAATGAAAAGACAGCGAATGTGAAAGTATTTATACAAATCTCTGGTACCATTTGACAATCTCATTTAGGCATTTTAGGGGGGTATGATTAAAATACAGGTTATGAAAATCCATAACGAACCTGTGTTACACCAGAGTATGGTCGATGACTTGAGTCGACAGCTTCAGTTGTGGTTATAGTCACCAATCCAGTTGATGCAAGAGAATCAAAACCAGTTTTCGGCCTATCCTCTTGAGCAGCCTTGAAAGAGAGGTATTGAGGATGAGTAGAGATGTTGTTCGAGAATGACCACTGCATTGCTGAACTTCTCAGAGGTGCTGCAACATAAGACAAGAGAAGAAGATACCATCTTAATTAGTTGCATCCAGCATTATATTTTCTAAGTGTATAAACAGGCTTCTGATGTACAAGAAATTAAATACCTACTTCAACTTTTAACTCTACCAATACAGAAATGCAATTGAGTAGTTACCTAATAATAAACAACACCCTGGTAAATTGTTTGAAGTATATATTAAGAAAAGACAGACGAGACGCCGACCCACCAAACTATAAATTGTCATAACCTCTATGCTTTTTCCCAGACATTTTTTTCCCTTATAATAAGAAAATCTGATCAAATAAATAATTCAAAGTGCTTCATAGGTGCAGCTGAAAAAGGGGGTGAACATGTTCTCTTTCTTGGAATTAAAATACAGGCTGCTAACTACTAAGCATCTCATGTGCAATATAATAATATACAATATTGTATTTTCCAAATACATAAGATGAAGTAAAGAACATGGAAAACCATCTGGTCAAAGTAGATTAAAAGTTTATACATAGAGCCATACTTTGGGCTTTCTTTAATACATTATTCTAATGGGGGGAGCAAAAGTACTTTATTCATTACTTTAATCTTGTTCTTGGTGATGTACCACCATAATTTAATATTAATTAAAGAAGGTGACTTGTGGGGCACCACAACTCATCTAAATTTTAAATTTTATTCTTCACAAATAAACTAATATAAGAGCTTATCAGGTGCACGTTAGTAATGTATATCCAACGCACAATATGCATTCAAAAAAGGTGCATGGACTACACTAAAGTCTAAACAAAGCCTCCCTCGAAACATCCAAACTTATGAAAAAGCCAAATCCTATGGTTGCACAACCCACTCCGAAACAAATACTATTAGCCATTATTTAATTTTACCTTTGAAGTATTCCCACTCAACGTGGACCACAGTACGTTGCTAATATAAAATTATACAGCTGTTAAACTTACATTAAATCAATAAAAAATTTGTTTTGACGAATAGGAAACTATCCCGTCTCTGTTTGGGGAAGAAGGAAATTTTCAAAAATGAAACGAAAATCTTGAGATAGATCAAGATATCCAATCTTTACTGCTTCATATAAGTTTCGAATACTATTTGGCTTGATTCCATAGCTGGTTTGCAAGGAAAAAAAGTTCTTCAACTAAATAGACTAATTAAATGGAAAAGGGACGATTTAAACAGAAAGAGATATTATCATAGAAATATTAATAAGGTGTAACTGGCCTAAAGATTCAAGCTTGAAATAAGAGGAAGAGAAAACATGAAACATAAACGAAAAGACAATATGATACCTGGATCTATATGTTCTTCAATGACTTCTTGCTTCACGTGATGAGTCAAACCCATAAAATCTCTCTCCATTATTTCACTTAAAACTAGCTCCAACTTCAGGATTTCAGAGATATCTGACAAGATCGTTAACAGTTTGTTGAAAAAAGGATTGAGAATAGCAAGAGAAAAATAGAGCTGAGAGCTCTGGTTTTTCGGCTTTGAGGGGGGAGGTTTGTTTATTGTGAAAGGAAAATGTGAGGGAAATAGTACACAAGAGGTTTAAATGAAGTCATACCTTTGCTTTTTATAAGATAACATCACTGCCGTTCATTTTTCGAGGTTACCTTGTCTGTTTTTGGCTCCAACTTTACCGGTTATTACCGGTAATTAATCGTCCCGTGCAACCTTTTATTTTTTTTTAAAGAAAAAGTTGTATACTTTGATTCACTATTAATATAATTTATAGTATTATTATTATTATTATTATTATTATTATTTATTTTAGATTATAAATAGATTTTTATTAAATAAAATTATATGCAATTATATTTTAAATAAAGTAATTTGATAAATATTTTATACCGACGAAATATAGAACTTGGAATTCATTTTTTATTATTATAATTAATTAAATAATATTTAACCCTCATATGAAAGACGAGTTCACAAATCTTGATATTGAGATAACCAAAAGGATCCAAATTGAAAGGAGGGACCATTATCACTACGTTACAATTAAAGTTTGGCCATTTCATTATTGGTTGTTATTTTAAAATTTTACACAATATACCAGATGGACCACATTTATATTAACAATTTTGGTGGTAGTGCAATTTTTTAGCTCTGTATAATTTAAATATTTGAATATAATAAAAAAGAAATGAAAAAATCATCACAAATATTATTTTTAGATAAAGTTATTATATTTAAATTTTGAGCAAAGATAGTTATAAAAAATCGCGTATAAGATATATTTTTGGAGGGAATAGCAACAGAAATTTGCATCATTTCTCTTTGATACTCATTATCATTGGTGGAGACTATCTCACTTCTCGTGCACACTCTATCATTATAACATTTTAATAGAAAAATACATTTTACATGAAAATAGTTTATGCCATATTAACAAACTTTTTGTTTAATGAATATTTATGTACATTCATTATTGAAGTATTGTAATACAGTCAGACGCTTCTAAAACAACTATCCTCTATAACAATACTTTATTATAATTGTCAAATTTTCTTGAGAATCAACTTTTTTATTTTATGTTATAATATATTTTTTATATAACAACATTGTAATATAGCAGCCAAAATGGATACAATTAGATAGTGATTTAAAAAAATGATGCAGGATTTTATATTCAAAATCAATGTTGTACAAGTAATTTAACATTATATATTGAGATCAAGAGTTCTTATCCCTCGAACCAAACAACTTGGGTTTGGCATTCAAATTGAACGGAACAAATGTCACTAATGAATGGGATTTTCTCTAGTAGTCGAGCACCACCACCACTAATCAATAAGTTGGAGATTTAGGCACACAAAAGATAAGTGAAAACGTTATGATCCTCCTGTGTAGGATGGAGGGTAAACTCTTGAAAATTAGCAATAAAAGTAACTAAAAAAAATTCCCTTTATCCTACTCCAAATCAATTTTAACAATAAACGATCTCAGATATTGAGAAGAGAAGGAATTATGGCGTAAACAATTAATTGAGAATGCTTAGAATAGAGCCCAACATATGTCTTAAGAACGACTTCAGTAAATTTGAAAAGCAAGCTCTATAGCCAAAGAGCTGAGCTAAATCAAAGTTGAAACTACATTAAAACATTCTCTAAAAAGAAGTTTTCGTTTTACCTTTTTAAAAGTTTTAATCCTCGTAAATACTGACCATAAATCCCAAGGCTTAAACACTAAAAATATGAGATATTTAGAGAAGAAAAACATGTTTTAAAAGAGTTTTTGTTTTACTTGTCTTCGTAAATGATCACCATTTTATGCGTATTTGGACCTGACATGTTTTTCTATATCAAAGAAATTTTCTATTATATTTTTGTTCTATATTAGATTTATTATAATTAACGCATGTTTGTTATGAATATATTATATTATGGATGTTCATTTAGTATTTCGTTAGAAAGAAGCTTCCTGAAGAAGCTTATCCATATGGGACTCCGCCGTAAATATGTTTATCTATTTAGTACTTTATTGGAAATAAGCTTCCTGAAGAAGCTTATCCTTTCGGTACTCCATTATGGATAAATATTACCCCCGGTAAAAGATTATCTATATCTAGTATAATGAGCTTATCCTTTCGGTACTCCGTTATGAATAAATATTACCATCGGTAAAAGATTGTTTATATCTGGTACAATAGCAACTTACAAGGATCTTACAAAGCAGCTTGCAGTAGCAGCTTACACAGCAGATTGCAGTAGCAGCTTACACAACAGCTTGCAGTAGCAGCTTATACAACAACTTCCTTTCTTGTATAAATAGAGAAATTTTCAGTTCATTATTGTAACGACCCCGCAGGTCGTTTTGAGAGTAATAGCCTCGATCCCCTATTTTTATTTTTATTTTTGCCTAAGGGCTAATATATAAATAAAATCCCAAAAATGGGTCCAATGCTTACAAGATGTCCAAACCAAAAACTAAAATAGAAGTTGCATGAAGCCACTAGCTATTAAAAAAGATAAAAAAGCTAAAATCTAATTAACTAACTTATCAAGCCCTCACCAGACGCCAGGATATATTGTCCATAGTCTAAAATGAATTCCAAACATCTCCACCGCAGAGTTGAAGTCCGCATCGTCCTCCAAGTGTCGCTACTATATGATCTCCATATGCAGTGGATTGATTTTGTTCAAGTATTAATCATGTGCTCACTCATCAAGATTAATGTGTAGAAGAGGAGCCTGGCTTTAGGCAGGCTTTGCAAGGCAAAAGCCAGGCTTGAGCTGGCTTTAGGCAGGCTTTACAAGGCAAAGGCCAGGCATGCGCTGGCTTTAGGCAGGCTTTGCAAGGCAAAAGCCAGGCATGAGCTGGCTTTAGGCAGGCTTTGCAGGCCAAAGGTCAGGCGTGAGCTGGCTTTAGGCAGGCTTTACAAGGCAAAGGCCAGGCGTGAGTTGGCTTTAGCCAGGCTTTACAAGGCAAAAGTCAGGCATGAGCTGGCTTTACCCAGGCTTTACAAGGCAAAAGCCAGGTATGAGCTGGCTTTAGGCTAGCTTTACAAGGCAAAAGCCAGGAATGATCTGGCTTTAAGAAGACTTTGCAAGGCAAAGGCCAGCCTGTGCCTTGTTGTGATCTTGTAAGCTCAGATCCTTCCCTACTAGAACCTTTAATGTAGACATCATTTAAAACATTGCTAAACCATCCTCAGATTGAGCTTGAAAGCATGCTAATACCACTGAGAAATGATTCAACAATCTCCAAAAATACCATATGATGGGTTCAGCATTTTCCTTAGCATTTGGACATATCAGTTT